TAAATATACACACACCCGCCTGCGACAGCGGCGGGAGCAGGGCGCGGGTCTCCAACTCCGCGCGCCGCAGTCTACCCGGGGCACCCGCAGAGCGCATGGTCTACATCCACCTGCAAGGCGCCGCACGCAGCACAGCGGGCCAAAGTGACAGGGAGGGACGGCACGCCAAGCACAGGAAGGGGCCATGCCCCGGACATGCGCGCCACGGCCCACATGCGAAACTCGCGCCACATATGCGGCCCAAAGTCCAGACCGAACATGCCCACCGGTAGCTGGTGGGGTTCAGGGACAAGCACGGCATAGGACATACCGAGCGCGGGCAGGCGGGCGCAAGCGGCGCGCTGGAACGCCGCCAAGTCACGCGCCCTCAGGGCCGAGCGGACCACCTGGAGTTTAAAGTTGCGCAGCAAGGATCAACGAAGCTCCAGCGAGCAGCGAGCGTTGCGCAGCGGGTGGCGGAAAGCGGGGTGAACGTCAATGTCCAGGATTGGCGGCGTCTGCTCCGCCATGCGGCACGCTACGACGCTCGCCCAGGTGGTGCACGAAAAGGAGCGCGCCAAGGAAAGCATGCGGGCGCCAGGGTGGTCAGCAGGCTGCGCCAGCAGGCGGGCGCGCGCCATGATTGCACGCTCCAGCATCCGCGTGCCCAAACGGCACGTCCAGCCGCATTGCACGACAACCACCTCGGCAGGCACGGGGGGGCCCAGTGGCGCAAGCCAGAAGCCGTCTGACCATCGTGGCCTGCACGCGGTTCAATTCGTATTCAGCGCGCCGGGCCAAGAGCAAGACGGGGGAGGGGCAGAGGATGGCGGCCTCGACCCGGAGAGGGACCAACGCAGAAAGCACTGGGAGGCCGAATCCCCCGCTCTCCCCGGCGTAGAAGAGCGCCTCGACAATGCGCGACCACGAGCCAGAGTTGAGCGCAACAAGGGTCGAAACGAGAGGTCGGCATCAAAGGGGGCGCCGAGGACTAACTTCTGGTCTACTACGGGGCAGCCCACACAGCCTGGATTTGGGCTCCCAGCCACGGCCATGGCCGCCGTCTTACCAGAGGCGCAGTTGAAGTCCGCACGGACAGCACGCGCAAATCGACCGCATGCAGAGTCCAGCTCGGCGGAGACGACGGCACTGAGAGCACCGGGGGACGGGCACGCAACGGACAGGTCGTCCGAGAACTGAAGCAGCTGCAGGTGGTCAGTGCCGAGTGCGTCATGCACGGCGGCACGGTCGGCTTCAGTTGGCCCCCCGCTCACCCACCTGGCCAGTTCCGCCGCGGCACGTGGCCCCGGCGTGACCTCGCCCAGTGCTGCGGCGGAGACCCTACCTGCGACGTCCGCGGCAGCAGCGACGGAGGGGGGTGGAGGGGCCCGGAGGGGAATGGGAGGGGCGGGGTCGGCGCCAACCGGGCAAGCTCGCCCGTGCAACGCAGGGGCCCAGGCTGCGCAACCTTGCGGCAGGACGACCCTTACAACATCAGCTAGCCGTTTCACTTGGACGTTGAACACGAACGCCGAAACCACTCACCCTGAGCAGTGCCGCACGGCAGCTGAAAGGGCTCAGATGGAAGCCCTTGGAGAGCCATGAACTGAGTGTCCACGTGGATAAAGTCGTCGAGCAAAAGCAACTCGTCCTCGACCACACCGCCAAGGAACGACGACAGAAGCATGGCCGCATGCGAAGCTACGTCAAAGGCCCATCGAAGGTCAGTGAGCGCCCAGTACGTGGGCAGCGCTTGGGCACCACGGAGCTGCGCGTGGAGTAGCAGCGCGAGCAGGACCAGCAGGGGGTCCCCGACCACGCCCTGCTGGCCCTCACCACAATACCGGGTGAGCGTGGGGCGGTTGCGCTGTGTCCAGAGGGCGTCCACAACCGCAGACATGATCGTGCAGGCGACAGCACGCACCAATCGGGGCCCTGATTTATGGAGCGGCGTAAACTGCCTCTCGGACCAGCACATGCTGGTCAGTCCACACGACCTGGATAGATTCGCCAGGGCTAACGTGAGGCGCCTGCCCTGCGGGCAAGCGGACTTAACAGAGGCGTAGCAGCCACGGAGCGCGCTAGAGGCCACCTTGAACGACGCTAATACGTCATCCAGCTCAGCCATGGTGTACAGGCGCCGACACCTAGTGGTTGGGGCACCAGCGCGGGCCGCACCACTCTGGCGAACGGCTGAAACGGCGCGCGTAGTGGCGAGGATGGCCGCTGGGTCGTGAGGGAAGCCATTGTTCGCCCTCGCCTGCAGGTCCTGCTCAAGGGCCTGGAGCATGGCATCCGCGCTCAGGGCCTGGCCAGTGGCAGAGCCAGCGAGAGCGATTTCAAACCGATTTTGCGCATTAAAAGAGGAAGACAGATAACGCTCCTCGGCGCCCGGATTCGAGGCCCCAAGTTGAAGGAAATGTTGGGCCGCACCCCGTCGGGCATCCCAGGCCGCCTGCGCAGCTGCCCTCTTAAACGCCTGGTGGTCGGAGAAATCCGCCGAAGCCGGCCCGGCAGGCCAGCGTCACTTGTGGGGCGCCGCCACCGACGCCGCTCGAGTGACCCCCGCCGCGTGGCCCACAAGGGTATATAACGCGTCCCGCGACCACGCGGCCACATCCAGCAGCGCACGTCGCTGGGCCACAGAAGCCTGGCCCCCGCTCCACGGGGGGCGGAGCCACGGCGCATGCACGCATAGCTCAACCGAGGACGCTGCAACTTGGAGAAGCCGCGCCACCGCCTCGAGGGCATGATCTCACTAGGAGTCGATGCGCCAACTGACCCGACCGAACCCCACGCGCGCGCATGGAGCGGTCGCACTGGCACGCCAGCGACCAACACAGCAAGCGATGGTCAGAGCACATAGCCACGGCCTCCTTGACAGTGACCGAGACCACCTGGCCCGGGCCCGCGAGAAGAGGTCGACGCACGTGCCTGAGTCATGCGTGGGCACCGGCGGGTTGCATGCAAAAAGCCTGGCAGCGGAAAGCATCGCCTCGATGGTGCGCTCGTCCTGAGACTGGCGGAAGTAACAGCAGCTGCAGCCAGGCTGGTGCATTAGGATGTCAGACAAGTGGATGTTCGCGTCCATCGCGACGAGAAAAGAGGCATGCGGGGAACAGCTCCGCAGCCTGGCTGGCGCGTCCAGGATCGCGCTCCACGTGGCCACGTCGCCCCCCGGCGCAGGGTAAACCGCGGCGAAAACAAGCACTGGCCCAGGCACCTCGGCGGGGACGCGCGCCGACGGCCAGACTTCAATCCACTGGAACCGCGGAGAAGAAAAGTCCGGCAGAGGGCGGACTGCTGGGGCAAATTCAGGTCTGAGGAAATCCCGACAGCAGCCCAAGAGGCAGAACGTTCGCCAAGCCAGCAGCATGGGTATCCTGGCGGCAATGCCGCCCCTGGGGGAAAGCGCGCTCCCGGGGTGATACAGATATCAATACCCTCATCGTGCAGAAGCTGTGCCATCGCCAGCAAGCGCCAATCTAATAGCGCCTTCATGCCCAGGCCAAGAAGGCCAGTCCGGCCCGGAAATTAAAACAGCCATGCGCAAGAGCTCCTGGTTGGCCTGGCCGTCGGACGGGGTCGCTACTTCGTGACCAACGGCCACAGGGACAGGCCCTGCGAACGGTGGGATCACCGGCGCCGGGCTCAGCGCGGCAGGCTGCAAGGGGGGAGCGACCTGGGCCAGACAGGTGCGCAGCTGCCTCCCCAGGTCAATCAGAGGCACAGCCTCGCCAATTCCCAATTCCCTCCGCGGCGCGGCGCAGGCGCGCATGCGAGCAAGGCGAGCACGTCACGGAGCGCCGCCCCCCGCTCCAGGCGCTTGGTTTCCACGCCTATCCAGCGGCTCACCAGGTCACGCAGCGCCGTCAGCGGGACGCGGCCGACGCCGGCAGGCATGCCCCCCCGCCCTCCCGGCGCGGGCTGGCACCAGCGAGGTCAAGCAATGCGGGGCAAGGGTATCGGGCGCCAGCGGCTGCGGGGTGGGGCGCGAAAGCAGAGCGGAGAAGGGGGGTGATGTCGTGGGGGACCAATGCTTTGGGAACCTGGGGAACACTGCACACACACACACACACATACACACAATCGGCACCCCTCAGAATGGGACTAGTAGCAATGAAGACGCGCCATGGGATGGCCCCTGACCCGGGGCAGGAGATAACAGCATAGCTGCACCATGTGAGTACAGGACGGTGCTCCCTGCCAGGGCTCAGCGAGGCCCGGGTCGACAGCTCCCCCTTCGCACCCCCTATCAACAACGATCGACGGGTCGTCGGGATGTCACAGGCACACGCATCGGACGTGCGGGTGGGCGCGCAGGCTGCGCGCAAAAACGCAGGGCGTCGACACAGCGAGGTATGATGTCACACGCGTGCACGACCAAGGAAGGAACAACATAGCTGCACCATGTGAGCGCACGCTGCATGGGCCGCAAGCGCGGGGGGGCAGCACTGCGAGGCTGGACGGGGCACGGAAGCAGCTCAAGACAATAAAGGCAAGCGTCGGGCCCAATGGGGCGACTGCCCGACCAGGCGCCTTTTTCCTTGCACGCCGCGCCAAAACATCGCCGCTGCCCAAGCGTCGCGTCGAGGGTGCTTTTTACGCAGGGCGAATTAAAGCAATAGGCCCTTGCCTGCAGATCGGGCCAGCACGCGCGTGTCTGCGCGAGCGCGCACGGCACCGCGCACCTAGGCTTCCCGGGGTTGGAAGGGAAAAGGCAGCGTCAGTTCCCCCGAAAAGGTGAGCCACGAGGAGAGGAAAGAGAGGAGAGCAGGAGGGCGGCACAAGACAAGGGCAAGGGCTATCCGCTCCGGCGGCGGGGGCGACGGGGACACGCCCACCCCCTCCCCCGCCGGCGACGCCGACACCAGAGGGGGCACATGAGAAGGCCGCGCGACTGACTGAGGGGCCGGACTCTGTCCGTCATAGAATTGGGCACCCATTGACACCATATTCCGTCCGTTATAGTAGCGTCGGGCTGCTCGACGAGGCAAGCGCGGGCGCGCACAGGCATCGCGTTAGCTGCCATCACCAGACGCCGACCGGGGCTGGCGCAGCAGCTCGCGTGCACTGAGGCGCTGCACTGGGGCCGAGAGCAGCCCCGGCACCGTGGCCTTCGGCTCGGGGCCCCTGATCTCCGTGACCGGGCCGAAGAAGAGCAGCAGCTCCTCAAGATGCGCCTCGAAAAGAGGGCGCTGGGCATGCATGACGACCTTGCCCGCGCCCCCGTTCTGCACTTGCATGGACAGAACTTGCTCGGGGGAACTGCAATACGCGATGTCTAAGCCAGGCTGAGAAGTCGCCAGTCACTACAGCAGAAAGGGGGCTCTGCAGCGATGTGTTTCGCCGCCGCTCCACGGCGCGTGCCAGACAAAACCGCCACCCCCATCGCCATGACGGCGTTGTGGAGGTCGACCTCCGAGTGGCAGCACGAGGCAAAGAAGACCGTGAGCAGCAAGCGGCCATCGCCCTGCTTCGGCCCGAAAAACTCACGCAGTTTGCACAGCCAGCCGGAGACCGCGTCGCGGAGCTCAGTCTCGCTCCCGAGAGTGGCGAACTGGCGCGGGTCAAGCGCCGCGCTGGTCGGGCCGGCGGGGCACGGCATCGTCGGTGCGCTCGAGGGCTCCGCCGAGCTTTGCGCGGGGGCTGCACATGGCTGCGACGACACATGCTGGGGCGCGGCCACTGGCGACATGAGTAGCGGCGCCGGGGCCGGAGGAGGCGCCTGCGGCGGCACAGACACGCGCGGCGGGAGGGGCCACGGAGGGCCACAGAATGCCACTACAACAGCAGCAACGACCTCACATGCGCGGACGCGTTCCGCTTCGCATGCCTGAACGCGCTCCTGGAGCAACGCGGCACGTGCCGCATACTGAGCAAGCTCTGGAGGCCGGACGGTTTGCACGACGCCGGAGGCGCGGTTTAACCACGACTTCCCGCCCCCCGCGCCGACCAGCTCTTCCCAGCTCGCACGGGCTGCATGCAACTGCGCAAGCTACTGCCGCAAGGCGGCCAGCTCACCGGCGCTGTCCCTCACGGTGCTGGCAGCGGGCAACGGAGCGAAAACAGGCGGGGCCGCTTTGGCAAGGGGCACTGTTGGCCCACTGGCCGTGCCCGCCGTGAGCGGCGCGGGCACGGCGGAAGCGGGCGGCGCCGGGCGGAGCGCGCGGGCTGAAAATGCAGGGCCCCAGATCGGCAGCGCAGGGCCCGCGCCCGGGTGGTCCCACCGGCTCTCCCGCGTGTGCCTGTTTTGAAAAAATAAAGCCCCAGAAGGCGCGCGCCGGGATTCCCGTCCCGGCAGCGGCGACAAGTCCGGAGGCCCAGGGGCTTTCGGCTCAGGGGTGGCCTGGACCCGCCTCACCGGCGAATGAGCTGCGTCGGTCGGCGGCGGCGGCGGCGGGGGTGGTGGCGGAGGCGTTGTAGGCGCCGCGCCGAGCCACTCCGCCGGTGGAGAACCCTCCAGGCCGCGCGCCGAGGGCGCTGGGGACAGAAAAGCCCGCGCCTTCGGCGCCGCCCCCGGGAAAGCGCTGAAGTTCCCGGGGGGGCCATCGATTGGGCGCGGGGTGGCTGGCTGGGGCGGCTGCATGGCGCTCAGCTCCGTTGACAGGCCGCGGTCCGGCGTGCCCGCCACGGACGTCGGGCTACAGGGCTGCTCCTCTAGCTGTTCAGGGGCAGGCCGCTCAGGAGACCTCGACCTGCGGCGCCGGCGGTCCAGGCGCCCGCAGTCCCGGTCCCGGACCCGGCCCCAGTCCCGGTCCAGGTCCCGGTCGCGGTCCCGGTCACGGTCGCGGTCACGGTCCCAGTCACGACTGTGGCTCCGCTCACGGCCCAGGTCGTGGTGGCGCTCCGCCGGCATCGTAAGGGCCGGGTGCGAACTGCAGGCTCTGGGGCTGGGCAAGAACCGTGCTGCGCGCGGTTTGGTGGGCTCTTGAGCACGAGGGTGGCTTGAGCCAAAATGGCCACGGCCCAGGGCGGTGCCCCTCGGCCCAGCGCGGTCTCCAGCAGACAGAGTTAAAACGAGAACGGGGTTGAGAGCACGATGCCGTAAGAGGTAGTGGCAGAGAGGAGGCGACTGAAGGCCTCATGAGTTACACCAGGTTGCCCAAAAAATTCTGGTTGATGTGTAGATACTTGTAACGCTTTCGCCCCCCCTCCCGGGAAGCCATGTGCTTTCCGACAGACGACGCTCAATTTCGAGAGCGACTAGCAGCGGTGACCTAGCCAATCCCACCCGATACGGGCAAGGCACAGCACGGGCCAGAGGTGCCAAGCACGACGTGGCATCCACACAGGCGCAGCACGGCACGGCGACACGAAACACGATACAGCGGCCAACAACACGGCACGGGGACGGCACCCGAGGCACGGAAAGGCATGGCAGCCACCGCCATAGTCGGGGTGGCCCGATTGCTTGATCAATGCAACACGTGCGTCACAACGATCGTGATCATTCTCCATGTCGCTCCCAGCGTGGACGAGGGGGGAGGGGCAAGGGGAGCAGGGGCAGGGAAGGGAGAGGGCGGGAGCGACGACAGGGACGACAACGACGACGACGACGACGACGACGACGACGACGACGACGACGACGACGACGACGACGACGACGACGACGACGACGACGACGACGACGACGACAGCGAGGACAGCAACAGAGACAACGACAACGACGACGACTACGAGCAAACGTCCCCGACCGAAGACAAACACGCGCATTATCCAACAGTTCTTCTTGGCGCAAAAAACCGCCACTGTCCAAACGCAGGCTGTTGATTTCCCGCATAACCTCTAATTTGCGACGCGCCGTCTTATCTGGGTTGCGCAGCCGCAACCGGTCAACATGCTCAGAGACAAAATACAAATTATCAGCCACATACTTCAACGCATCGTCCCGGGACATCGCCCGAAGGGTGTTGCACTGGACTTTCCTATAAACGCTACGCCGCGCAAACACAAGACGCGGGTGTTTTACCCCATTTGCAACGACAGACCACAATTTGCGAGGGCCCCCCACCCAGTCTCCGGCCATCGTCAATATTGTCTCGAATGTCTTCTGCGACCGCCACTGTGCGACAAACAGAGAACACAGACGACATTTGCCACCTTTCTTTCGCCGGGAGGGCTTCTAGGATGTTAGGCTGCACGACTGTTACATGGCACCAGGAACTCATCCGAAAGGCTTGTGCCCGACAAAAGATCAAGCATGGAAACAGCCTGGGGTGCGACTCCAACACATAATTTCGGCCATGTCGGGGAAATGTTCTTTCATGAGCTTCATCACTGTCGTCGTAAGCCATCCCTCCCCGGAGTCGGCGCCAACGTCGGCCCCTCGCCGCTCCCAGGCGCCAGCTGCTAGAGCGGGTCGTGGCGCAGGCAGCACCAAAGGAGCGTCAGAGCTGTCTCCCTCCACCGCGGGCGCTACAAGAACCATCGCTGCGCGGCCGGGCCCGGGCCCTAGGCCGCTGGCCCCGCTGGCTTGCGCTAAAAGGCTACGGAGGCACTCTTGAGCCGACATTGGTGGCTTCTTCGGTAGCCTTGGGCCGTCGGAATCCGAAAAAGATAGACAGCCAAAAACCTCCAAGACCTAAGGCAATCAATGCTTTTGACCTTTTTCGGGCCGGCCTTGAGGACCCTGGTGGACCTCTTCGAGGCTTCGCAGGCCGTCTTGAAGGCCTCGTGGACTTCTCTGAGGCCGCCCTGGGCCGTCGTAGGTGTTTCGACTGCGAACTTGAAGGCATCCTGGACTCGTGGGCCATCTTCGAGGCCATCCTGGACCATTGTGGGCGAACCTGGAGGCCGCCATCATCACGGCCATCCTGAAACCCATCTTGGAGCGGCCTGGGTGCGGGACACCCTTGGCGGGCAACGTTGAGTCATTGTTCGGGGGGCGGGAAGAGGCACAACCAAAAGCGAAAGGGTCGAGCACGCCTGGCCTTCGGAGGGCAAGCCAGCAGGGGCGACGGTTTGATTCTCGAGCCCGGGCGAAGAGTCCAACGTCACCAGAACCTCAACGCCTGCGCGGCGTCCGGGTGGTGGCAGGTCGCTTGGCGGCAGCGTGGCGCTATCCTGCGTGAGGCGAGAATCGGAGCTGGAGCGGTAGGTCACCAGCTGCAGCGCCGAGTCTCGCTCTCGCCAGGAACCAGCTCGCCTCTTCTCTGCCGGGCTTTCTTCGGGACCGGGGCTGTCTGGTGCCAGGGTGGGGGGCAAGCGCTGGGCTGCTCGGGCAGAGAGGCAGATCTGCGCTCGACGGCCGACAAAGAATGCAGGGGCACCCTGCTCTGCGCGGCTGGACGCCCTGTACAGGCTCTGGTGTCCCATCGCTGCCACGCAGGACCTGCAAGGTCGGGGCAGAACAAGGCGAGACAGCGTCCAACAGGACGGGCTCTCTCCTGTAGGACTCTGTGGCGGTGAGGCTTGCGACGCACTGCGGCAACGGCGCCCCTGTTGTGGGCCAGCCACTTCTCCACGGCTTGAGGTGGCGGATGTGGACCAGGGTCCTCCCCAACAGCCTTCCCGACAGCGGGCCCCTCTTTCCCAGGCCCATTCTTGCCCCCTCCGGTTACTGAGGTTCGCAAATTCTACAGTTGTCGCGGCCGCCCCGGGCGCCTCTTAGAGCGTGTGGGGTGCCTCGGAGAGCTTCTTTGGGCCTCGTGGGGTCTCGTAGGGGCCTCTTAGAGTTTCTTGGGCGCCTACTGGCGCTCCCCTTGGTACCCACTGGAAGCGCTAACGGGGGCAATGGGAGCGCTCGTGGGGCCAGCGTGGATAATACCGATCCAACGACAAACGCGCCTTACTTGCGTTACCCCTCGGACGCTCTACAAGTCGCCTCCAGGGCCGCTCTTGGGGCGCTTTTGGGCGCCTGTGGGACCCGCCGTTTTGAAGCTTTTTGTAGGCCTGTCTTGGCGCCTTCTTGGGGCAGGCTCTGGAGACATCTTGGAGGTAATCGTGGGCTCTGCCAGGAGATCAGCCCAAGGAGTCCTCTTAGTGCCCCCCCGCCCCATCCGCAACCCTCCCCGTTCCC